AGGGAGGGACCGCTGACAAAGGGCAAAGCTGGGAGGGCAGGGCTGGTCCCTTCGGAGGGATGTGGGGGGAAGGCAGTTGAAGAAAGGAGAGAGGGATAGGAGGCAGCGGGTTGGGAGCAAGGTTATCTGAACCTGAAGACAAGCTTCGTCTCATCTGGGCAGGTCCTTCCCGCTGGCACTTGGGGACCAGTTCAGAGAATTTTAGCATCACACCCCTGGAGGTCTGAAGGCGGAGAGTTACGGTATGCCCTTAAGGCAGCGGTTCTCAACCTTCCTGACGCCGCGACCCTTTAATACAGTTCCTCATGTTGTGGTGACCCCCAACCATAAAATTATTTTCGTTGCTCCTTCATCACTGTAATTTTGCTACTGTTATGAATCGTCATGGAAATATCTGATCTGCAGGATATATTTTCATTGTTTCAATGAAAGGGTCGTTCGACCGCCCAAGGGGTCGCGACCCACAGGTGCCCTGGTTACCCCATTCGGGTGCCCCGGTTTGGTTGCCTCAAATCTGCCCCCCTTTCCTGGCTTCAGGCCCTGAGGTGCTAATGGGACCAACCCCACAGCCAGCTCCAGGCCTAGTGACCTACACTAACTCTGGGCGCTGACAGGACCCAAGCGGGCCGCCTGACCAGTGAGCGCAGCCTTGGGGTCTGCGGAAGGAGGCACCCTCCTCCTCCAGGGGAGAGAGACCTGGGCGGCCAGCGTGCCAGCAAGGGGGCGACCTGCCTGAGAAGCGGGCCAGCGTGGGGGAAGGCGGGTGAACAAGGGAACAGACCCCTAGAGCCAGGCCCGGCCAGGCCCAGCGAGTCCAGCCAAGCCCTCAGCTTCGCAGGCGCGCGGGCCCATAACCGTCCTGTCGTTTTCCAGGCCCTGCTGCTTTGCTACCACTGGCTGCCGAAAGCGCTCTGCCTGGCACTGTTGGGTGGAAGATCCCAGGGGCCCCCCAGCCAGGACCACCTACAGGGGCTGGACCTATGAGCATCCGCAAGGCCGAGCCAGGGGGACCTCAGTGGCCATGACCCCTCCCCGAGCCTGCCTTCATGCTTCAGCGTCCTCACCGAAGACCGGTCCTTCCCAGTGACGTCTGGGTTAGAAGGAAAAGCAGCGAGCAGTGGACAGACAGGAAAGCTCTGAGGAAGGGAGGGAGGGAGGGAGGGAGGGA